TTTTTTTTTTGATTCTGTCCACTTCTGCTTTTTTCATTCAATTTTCTTCTTTGCCATGTTTTTCTTCGATTCACTTATTTCCTTTTAGGTTTCTTCTTTCTGATTAATTTTTCTATCGCATTTCTCTCTTATTTGACCATATTTTCTTATCCGGCTTTTCAATATAATTTCCGTTTGAAACAAATAATAATCTGATTTTTGTCATTTTTTCATTTTTCAAAAAACAGCCAATGTTATTATGTACGACAATTGACGATTTGGACAATAACGATAACGATGACGACGACGATGATAATAGCGAACGGAAAATCATATTTAAACAACAACAGCGAGAAAAACAACATTTATCAACCAATGTGGATGATGATGAGAAAAAACCAATCAAAAAATTATGAAAAAAAATAATATTGATCATCATTATGGAAATATTGGGAGAAAAAAACCAAAGAATTTTTTTTTCATTGAATAATCATTTGTAAAACTTCGATTCTGCAAAGGAATTCTGTATTTTTATGTGCGAAACATTTTCATTTATTTTTCAAAATAAAAATTTATTTAAAAAAATAAAAAATTCCATTGATTAAATGAATGATTGATCACAATATTGAGTTTTGTGAAATTCAACATTTCATTCAAATTGATGATCAAAGTATATTGAATTAGATGTCTTGTGAAAGAAAAAAAAACGAGAATTTTTACCTTTTACCACATGGATTAAGTGACGCAGGTGTTCTGGAAAGAAGAAAAGAAAGAAAACCGTATTTTTCGCTTTTTTTATCATAGTCTTTCTATTTTATCAAAAAAAAAGAATAGAGCGAATATTTACATTGAAAAAATAATACAATGCATGTTTCGTGACTAACGATTATTCTTTAAATCAAGCAAACAGAATTTTCGTAGTTTTTTTTTATAAATAAAATATCTTAATAAATTCAGTTACTGCTATACCTTTTTTTCTCTGTTGTTAATCTATTCATTTAATAATAGGGTGATTTTTCGCCCCCTCTTTTGTTCACATTATTTCTGATGTGAAAGAAAAGTTTTTCTTCATTTTTTGTTTCGCTTTTTGGAACATCGATAGAAATTGAGAATCG